GAAGCCCCTGTGCCGCAGGCCTGCCCAAGCCCGGCTTGCAGAGATGAGTGTCCCACCTGGGCTCAGCCACAGCCTGATGCTTGTGCTTGAGTCTGCTGCTGTCATTGCAATAGGTCCCACAACACCGGCATGTCAGGAAGCGCTTAGCTCGGTGTTTGGCCTTTGACTCGGGGGTCAGGGCCATCGCTCCGTGCGTGAGAGTCACTGCTGCAGCGCCCCGTGGGTCAGGCTGCCCTTTCAACCGGCTCCTTCTCCTCTGGACAGGATCCAGGCTGATGTCTGACTGGGAGGAACAGCTCTCATTCCAGCCAGCACTGGCGCTCAGGCTGCGCAGGGGCAGGGCGAGCCGCAGTGCCTTCCAGAACTGGGAGCCGGAGCGCTTGGACTTCTCCCCCTTCCAGGTGACGAAGGAGACAGACTCCTTCAGCTGGAGGATGCTGGGGTGGGTGCACTGCAGTGGCCTGTACTCCACCACGATAAGTTTGGTTGCTATGGCGTTCTGGCACATGATGCCCAGCTTGAACTCCAGGAGACTGATGCTCTTCTCCGTCAAGTAATCAGGACTCAGGACCACGATCATCCTGCGACTCCTCTGGATGAAGTCGAACACGGCTTCGGTGGTATCTAAGAGTACAAGGACAGAGGAATTGGGGTGCACAAGGAGAAGGGAGTGGGGAGATAAAAACTGAAGGAAGCTGTTTGGTGGCATACCTGCACAGAACCCCCTTCCCACAGAAGGAAACCTGGCAGAAGCCCTGTGGCTTTTGACTTGCCCACACTCCTGCTGGCAGCATTTTTGCTGTGCAGGGTGTTTTTGAGAAGTGGTAAACGAGAAGCCAGAATATGCCACTGCTGTATTCTGACTTCTGCACAGCATCACTCCTTCCCAGGGAAGTACAGCCATTTGATAAAGGGCAGGTCTTGTTTGGGAACCACCTGCCCACAGCTTGAGTAGCCCTTTGCATCAGGGGAACAAAGCGAAGCAATCACGTCACCTTGCCACAGCTCACGCTGCCAAGGCCAAGATCCACCTCCTTCCCTGTCATGCTCTCTTCACCTAAAAATGGAAACCTCCAAATTTAGAAAGCAAAAATGTCAGCCTTAAACCTTTCCATCAGTTCCCCTAGCCATCATGGGGGGTGGAAATACCATCCTTCAAAACATTTCTTGCGATTCATTGCAAGTTGTAAAGCTCAGCAAGATGCTTAGCTGGAATGGTGCCAGGCAAGGGCAGCATCTCTTTTATTATGAATGTTGAAAAGCAGCAAGCCTGAAGGATGTCCTTGGACTTCTACCTGTGGCTTGGGATGCAGTAAGCATATTGAAAGTGTCATGGCTAATGGGTGAGCAGTGGAAACGATGGGAATTATAGGGCTCAGGCACTCAGCAAATTAACCAAAGCTGATTAAGAGAACTGTAAAAACTCCAAAAAAACCATACACTGACTGAGTGCTGGTGCCTGAGATGAGGGGAGACCCAAGGACAAGTTGGTGTTCAGGCAGGACAGGGATCATTTGAGTAAGAGCTCTCACACATGCAGAGAGAAAAACCTGCCTGTAACAATGTCTTGCAAAGATCTGTTCTGGGAAGAAGAGGTACTTGCTGCTTCCCTTCCCTGTCACACTGCTAAAACCTTCATTCCTCAGTCTGAAGACTCCCCTCTCTGCCTGCCAGTAGAACACTGGTCTTTTATATAAATAAAAATACAGTTCCTTCCCTGCAATGGCAATGCCTCTTATTCTTCCAGCACTTGGCTGTCTCTAATCTCACAGCAGAAAGTCCACCATGTTGCCTCTGGATGAACCTTATTTTAATATTGTACAGAGAAATACTTTTCAAATATGTATGAGTAGCTGTAAAACTCATTATCACTAGATTATTTGGAGACCAAGAACATGGGACAGGAAAAATGATCACATAGTAATATCCTAATAGAGCAAAGCACTATTTGGTTCTTTAACACAATACTGGAATTAAAATAAAATTATTTGGAGGGGTTTTTTTTCTGGTATACAAGGTTTGGGGGGACTTTGCCCCCCAACACACCCAGGAAAACACTGATTCATTGAAATCAAAAGTAGATGATAAAGTCAGTTCTGTCAGAATTGTCACTTAACGCTGTGACATGTTCTTAACATCCTGTTTCAAAGGCACAAAGAATTGGCAGCAATGTCCAATTTACTGAGTCCAGACCTCATTCAAACCTTTCTACAACTGATTGAGATCTATTTTGAAAACATCCAGGCTTCAAATTTTGTGAAAGAAAAAGATCTTTTGCTGGTTTGAAAGGTCTTTTTGAAACTGGAATCACAGAACCATGGTGAAATTTAGGCAGGAGCAGTCCCTGGGAGGTCACCTATTCTACCTGCCTGCTCAAAAAGTCCAGGCTTAATTAACATGAATGACTCTGATGCTGTTGAATTGAAATGTTTTGATTGAGGTGACAGTGCTGGTTTTATCAGTTTTGAATTTGCAACTTTTTGAGACTCGACACTTTTTGGCAGGGAAGACGCTCAAATTCCCAAAGATAGATTTTATTTCTGAGGATGGGATGCATTTAGACTTGTCTGACCAGGATACCCTGGGATGTTCAGTTTTCAATGTTTACCTAGCTCATGAAAAATCCTGAGTGGCCACTTCACAGTGTGCAGGCCGCAGTGACACCAACAGCATGGGATAGGACAAGCAGCAATAACACTGCAGGAGTTTGGGGATTTGATACACTTAGTTATCTGCTTTACACTAAAAAACCTTCCACCTTTACTAAATGGTTACAGAATGTTTTCGTTGGTTTACTTGTGTCTTCCCTAATGCACTCCAGAGATTTAACAGAGGATTATAACTATTATGGTCCTAGGTCCCATACCCATAGACCCCAAATCCATAGATTGTCACCAATATTCATTTTGCTAGTGGTCTGGAAGTGCTGGGCTCTCTCTCAACTTACCTGCTAACAGGCAAACAAGGGAAACAGACAAGAAAGTGGCTTGAATGAGAAAATATGAAGCTGACTGAAACTTTTCTACCCAACTGCCTGGAAGGCGATGGCCAAAGTAGCCTAAGAGTGAGTTTCATTTCTGTGGTTTGGGCAGATTTCCAAGATTTCTGTTCAACATTCTGACTTGATCTCTAAAGCAAAGAGATGATGTTTCCTTTCCATCTTTCTGTCTTGGGATTGCCAGGCACTCTTCAGATCAGGGATTTTCTGTGTGTGTGTGTGTGTCCACTGCTGTGAGACACCTCAATGCTGTGTGTCATTCTGTTTTTGCTTGCATGGCCCTGGTAGCTCAGGTGCCTCTGCAGGCACAACACGAAACAGCCAGGAAAATGTCCCCCTCTAAGGAGGTGTCCCAAGTGATCTTGATGCTTGGACTACACACAATTATCTTTCTTAAACAGCATTTTGCAGACATAATGGGGAGGAAGATGGTACTTATGAGAAATGCACAAGGACTGAAATGCAAAAGTGAAAATGTTTTATTGAAAAGCAAAATAAAATAATACTGACACTTCACAGACCAAATCACACAAAGGCAAAAACATGCAGAAAAGAGAAGGGAAAACAACTCTGGAACAGCTGTACAACATCAAACAGCGTAGGGAGGGAAGACATTTTTTCCAATTTGTGCCACGCTGTTTCCCCACGAAATAACAATGAGGAACTTTGCATGAGGCGCATATTGCATAAATATTAGGTTAGAGCACAGAAACTCAAATGAATCAACTGATTCAGACACATGCTGTGACAGAATCCCACAGTGGAAACCACAAGGGGCTTAGAATGAAATGGCAGGTGGATCTGAGGTGCTTGCAGATCTGCATTATAGCTTAGACTGGGCTTTACCCCTGGCCTGACAGATCCCAGCAAAGCCAGTGGTAAAGCTCCTGGGGAAGTGGAGTCTGCTCCAGTGCTATTCCTTCCACACTGCTCCCTCTGGGCCTCTCAGGTCCCTTCCAGACCATCACACCTTTCACCTTGTGGGTCCTCTGCTGATGTCTCTCAGTAATCCTGTTCTCAGGTTGTAATGGCACCAAAGGCCACTGCAGTAGTGCCAGAGATGCATCCAAAGGCCAGTGCAATGATGCCAGAGAAAGTTTCAGGTCTATTAATTATTTGGAAAACTCTTTGAATAAAATCAGCAAAATACATGAGGTGAATTTAACTTTCTAAAATAATCAGACTTACTGAAACATCAGCAGAAGTTCTCTTGGTAACTCAGCCAAAGTGAGATGTGATGTTGTGAGGTCTGGGCTGTCAATTCAATTTATGCATATTTTGGAGTCAATTTTTTAAAAATCATCTAGGAATCTAACACAGCTCTGCTTTGGCCTCAGGGCCTTCCCTCTGCCTGCAGATCTGGCAGCTGGTTACAGAGATGCTTAAAACACAAACAAAAAGGTGAAGCTGGGCAAAATGACACAGTTGCAATGGGTTCACAAAGCTGAGCACAGTTTGGGGTACCATCTCTTATAAATGTCCCTCCTCAGACAACTACAGTAGAAAAGCTCATAATAAAGCTTTTAAGCACCTATGAGCAGATGAGAAGTTCCACTGCCTCCAGTGAAGCTGACTGCAATTTTATTTGCTTAAAGCAAAGCTTACTTGGGGTGGGGAGAATGAAAAGGAAGGTAAAAAAGAAGCTCTATCTGTTTCACATTTGTAGCATCCTGGTTCCAGCCAGGACAGGGTTAATTTCTGCAGTAGCCAGGAAGGGGCATGGCCAGGATCTGGAGGTTATTCTATAACACCTCACATCACTGCCAGGGGAAGGGGGTCTCTTTCAGGGAGAAGGGGTCCCTTCTGGGTTGGTGGGAGGGAACAGCCAGATATTGTCTACTGTTAGGGGGGTTCCATGTGAATCATTCATTTCTTGTACCCGCTGTCATTAGTATTGTTGCTGCTACTGTTTGTTTTCTTATCTCTGTGCTGTTTCTAGTAAATTGCTCTTATTTCAGCCTGTGATCTTTACCTTTTGTGCCTCCAATTCTCACCAGCCTGCTGCAGGGGGAGGAGGAGGGGAAGGGGAGAGGAGTAAGTGGCACATGGTTCCAGTGGTAGCATTAAATTGGGAAATACCATTCCTAAACCATGGCATACAGTACCTGACCAAGGGCAGAGCTCCCCGCAGCCCTGGAATAACATTATTAATCATAAAATGCTAAGGGCAAGGGGTTTCCCTGATGCCAGGATTCAGTCCCACATCTTTAAGGCTGGGCTTTTTACTGGGATGCCCTTAAACCTCCTCAGCTGGGTGAGTAGTGCATAGACACCAAATTGTAGTGTTTTTTAATGCCATTATGAATGCATGTGCTTCACCCCCTGAACACCAGAGTGAATACATGAGTCAAAGGTGACTCAGCAGCAACAATTATCAATAAAAAATAAGCATGCATTTGGTGTGCATAATACTGAAAGTGGGCAGGTCCTTGCACTGGGAGCTACAGGAGTATGAAGACACCCCCAGTTTGCAGTTTTATTTAAAAACATTGTGAGCCATAGCACCAGTCAATGCCAGGGTCCCACTGTGCTTTGGAAAGGGACACTCCCCTCTTCTGTCTTAAAAGCCTGTGTGCTAGGGGTTAGCTCACCAGGTCCTCTCCTGCTGCCTCCCACTGAAGCAAGGACTGGTACACAGTGGTTTTTTGTGTTTCCATTTTGTGCAAAGGTTACAGAACCTGAGATACATCCTCTGTTCTGCAACTCCAGGCTGGAAACAAGACAGGGGGAGACTTGCTTTGTAAAGCCAAGGCTAGTTTAAACCTGAGCCCTGAATTAGGAATGGTGATGGTGTTCACAAACAGGCACAGAAGACAGATTTTTCACAGAATCATAGAATATTTTGGGTTGGAAAGGACCTTTAAAGGCCATCTAGTCCAATCCCCCTGCAATAAGCAGGGACATCTTCAACTCGATCAGGTTGCTCATAGCCCTGTCCAACCTGACCGTGACTCTTTCCAGGAACGGGGCATCCAGCACCTCCCTGGTCAACCTGCACCAGCATTTTACCACCCTCGTCGTAGAAAATGTCTTCCTTAAACATGGTCTGAATCTACCCCCTTTTAGTTTAAAACCGTTACCCCCTGTCCTGTTGCACCAGGCCCTACTAAAAAGTCTGTCCCTCTTTTTCTTATAAGCCCCCTTTAAGTATTGAAAGGCCACAATAAGGTCTCCCTGAAGCCTTCTCTTCTCCAGGCTGAACAATCCCAGCTCTCTAAGCCTGTCCTCATAGTCTTACCCAGCTGGACAGAGCTAGTAGCTTTTAGTAAGTTCAAATAAGTTTGTAGGGCCTCCTGGTGAGTCGGATATATATCCAGCGTCATCCCAGAGGCCTTGGCAGTACCTTGCATGATGCTGTCCCCCAGCCATTGGCAGAGGCAGTAGGCAGGTTCAGTAGTACACTGGGGTTCCTTGTAGTGCTTGTGAAGTCCCTGAGTTTACAAGAAACATCTCTCAGATATGCTCCATGGCCTGTACTAATGAGAGATTTCCCCTGGATTACAAGCATTACAGCTCTGAATGATCTGGTGTACTCATGAGACCACAGAGTCCCAGAGACTGACCACTCGTTACTAGAAGTGCTACAATACAAATATCACCTAGCAGAGTGTTGTGGGAGGGGGGTTTAATGTTTTGTAAAAGCCATTTCCCATTGCCAAACTATCTGAATGCACCTTCAACAGAAATGTGGGAAGCAAAGATAAGGAGCCTCAAGAGTCTATGCTCCCCCCACTGAAGCAGAATTCTGTGACCCCACAGTGATTCAGACTACAGGGCTGGAGCCACCTTTCAAACTGTTCCTTGGCCTCTGTAACAGATACCAAGGAACACAAAGGAGTGAAGTCACTTAGGAGAGGAAAGGAGCTCTGTCCAGGATGCTAATGAAGGTCCCATAGGAACTGGATCTAGGAGTACTGGCCTATACAAATACCACACCATCACAAGGTGCTGGATGCATCACACCTGTATAGCTCAAATTTAGACCTTAAGCCCAGGGCTCATGCGGTTGATAACAAGAATACATTTGCAGAGAGGAGGTGTTTACATCTTTGGTCCCTCTACTGCCAGAGCAATACAAAACTGCAGGGAAAACATGACAATCTTCCTAAAAGGTTGGGACATGGTCCTTCATGGAAAAAACCCTGAGCTCCTTCCCACTCCCTGGTACAACTTGTGGGTTTGTTTTGGTTTGTTTTCTGGTGGTGTCAAACATTTTTCAGGGATATGTGTCAACCCATCAAGGCTCAAACTCCTCCTAATTTTTTTCACTGGAATTTCCACCTGCAGCTGCTTCCAGAACCTGCCCTTTGGGTACTTGGATTTCTCGCCTTTCCATTTAATGACAGTCAAGGCCGCCTGGGCCCGCTTCAGCTCCTTCACTTTGCTCTTCTTGATGGCTTTGTACTGCACTAGAATGACTTTGATGTTGCCCTTGGAGGCCATATTCTCTAGACCAGCTTTGAGCTCCAGCAGGGCCTGTGTCCCCTGCAAGACGTAGTTGGGACTCAGGACAACAAGCAGACGTCGGCTTTTCTGGATGAAGCTCAGGGTTTCGTCTGTGACAACTGGGAGAAAGAAACATTGAGGTTGTTAGTGATGCCCAAGAACATGCTGCTGAGCTGCTAGTGTGACACCAGGTGTCTCTTGAAGGGGACAGTAAAACCCCTTGGAGGCCCTCTCTAGAGACTACACCGGTGCTTCCCAACCCTGCAAGTGACTCCAGGTAGGACCTCCTACACCATGGCTGGTACCCACTTCCCCACACAGTGACATCTTCTACTCCCAGCCTCAGACTCCCTGGAGATGCATTTCCTCCTCCCTGTGCTATGTGGAGATGCCCAAGACAGCTACATCTAAAAGGCACGATACCACATGTCAGTGACACCAGGCAATGCTATGAGGATGCCTTGTGGCCAAGAGGGCTGCTGATCTCATAGAGAGGGGCGAAAAGAGGCTTTCTGGAGCAAAGCAGGGAAATTGGCAGCTGAACAACACATGACCTCAAGGGAAAAACTCGGCCTGAAGAGGTATCAGGAAGCTTGAATGCCTATGCTTACATCCTCCTCTGGCAGATGTCCAGAATGACTCTGGATACTCCTTTCACTCCTCTTGCTTCAGTTTCCCCACACCAAACACGAACAATATGTATCTACACATCTACACCCTCCCTGAGTGTCCTAGTGTGTTAATTTGCTTTGGTAGTACTACCATTCTAACTCCTGTTACTCATCCATCTGTTCCCGTTGCTATCATCTATGAAAGCAGATTAGAGCATTTTTAGAACTTAAAAGTAAACTGTTCTGAGGCCTTTTAGTGAAGTGTCCCAAAAATAACACCCTCCAAGGAAGGGACATGTCATGGTAACTGTGGATCCTCTTTAATATTCTAATATCTGCAGGTAGACTGTCCTTAGGCATCCTCCTGTAATTAATGTGAAAATCCCTTGTAAGTGTGAATCCCAGCATTTGTACTCTCTGCTGCAGGATCTCCCACACTTCATTTACAAAAGAACACTCTTGACTGGTCAGAAATTACAATGGGAATAAAATAATGCTGACAGGCAACTTCATTTAGCTGTCAAGCACGTTTGATTAGTTCCCGTCAGCTAACTCGCAGGATAATCCATCCCCCACTGTTTCTTCATCAAGGACAACATAACTCTACTCATGACACAGATGCACACTCTGGAGGCATGACATCAGCTGCCAAAAGCTATTTCCTGGCCTGTCGTGCTTTCCCAAGAAGATTAGTCAAATCCTGGCTAAGAAGTGGCAGGGAAGCCCCAGCAGCATCGCGAACGCAGTGTGGTGACAAGCCACTCCAGCAGTGCTCCAGAGGGCCGGCACTGGCTTGAGGTTGACAGTGACTGGCACGAGGGGCAGAGATGGGAGCGTTCGGCGGTAAGGGTGAGGGAGAGAGAGCCCAGGAGAGCTGTGGTGGAAGGAAAATGACGCCCTCCAAAGCGAAAGGGGAAGGATGGCAAGAAGCGGCAGAGGGAACAGGAGGAAGAAGGACATCTGGTGAGAACAGCTCAGAGCAAACCTGCTCTGAATCTGACACTGCATCAAGAAAATTGAGTCTGGAAGGTTCCCTGCCATGTCATCCAGGCTCTCTGTAGAAGGAACAGTACCAGGATTGCATCTGTCTCCAGGTCCCCTGAGGCAAACTAACTCATTTATCTCCAAACTTTGAGGTGCTCCTAGATCCTAGCAAGCATCTAGGAGATAAAGATAACAGACTCCGGACTGATTCTGTTCCCTTTGTCACGCAGCTGGGCTGAGACTCCAGCAGTCCCTCCTGTCCTTCCCAAAAGGGACCCCGATGGACTTTCTCAGCATGGGTTCTGTCATCAGTGGGGTCCTGACCCAAAGGCCATGAATTCAAAGTAGGGTGGTCTGCACTGGCAGAAGTTCAGACTTTGAACTTTTAATAGGCATCAGGGGTCACACAGCCTACTGAGCCCCCAGGACACTGGAAACAGAGAGTGTTGGCTAGATTTGTGCCCTTGCTGTGGCACTTGTGTGAAGGTATGCTTATCCGGGGAGTTTCACAAACTTCTATTCTTGATTCCCTGCATCCCTGAAGCAGACACTATGTCCAGAACCTTACATGATTTAGCTCAAAACAGGGAAAAAAGACTACATCTTACTGAAAAGATAGTCCCACTACCTGCAACAAAGTACTTTTAATTATAGTAGCTTAATTGCATGCCATATTAGACACAAACTCCCTAATAATGAGGGTGAGTGGGAGGCATGTTATCTTCTCACTGATTTTGGCACGGTGTTTTCCACACCTTCCTGAAGCAGACACTCCTGCTTTTTACAGGCATTCACCATTACCCTCTGTGAGCTAATAGTCTGATCCAGTGTAACACTTCCCCTGCTTCTTTTCTTCTAGCCTTGACTTTATCCCCTTTTTTTAAGGCAGCTCAGAGGGCTTGCATGAAGGTCAGTTGTCTGGTTCCCCATGTTGGTAGATCAATCACTCCTGCACATCAGTCCTGGAGAGAGCAACTGAAACAACCAACCACCATCACTTGCCCACCACAGCTTTTTTGGAGGTCGGGAGCATCTGCAACACTGTCATGTGAAGCAAAAACATTAGAAGATACCAAAAAGAGTTCATTAATAGTGATGAGGGGAAAAAACCAGAAGATAACCTGAATAGGCCTGTTCCAAACTACCAATACCTCAAAGAACAATAAAGAGAGGAGGTGCATGGAGCACAGCCCCCCGTGAAATACTCACTTCCCCCAGGGAGGCTGTCTCTGTCGAAGATACACAGCTTGTACCCAAACTCATTCTCCAAGACTCCCCGCAGTGTCAGCAGCACAAATTCCTCCTCCTCCGCGTTGCGCGCGTAGGACACGTACACATCATACTCCTTCCCGTCTGAGCGTTGGGAGCACAGAGAGACACAAATGGCAGAAGAGACACCTGTGATACTGCACATGCTGGGCCTTTGACTTGCTTCGTGGGAAAAGCAGGTACGAAGGCTCACTTTGAGCCCAGGCACTGCAGGTTAAAACAAATCTATTTCCATAGTTACCAGAGAGCAGCACTGCCTGTTTGATTACCCAGCCTGAATATGCACGTACTCAGATACTGCTGGGTCGCTGAAGTTAGAAAAGCAAAGCAAGATGATCAGTCTGTTCTGTCCAGGCTCCTTTTGTCTTTTGACATCTTTGACATTGCTCCCTGTCACTGCAGTCTATCCACATGAGCAGTCCCACCAGACAGAGACTTGCACCCTGCCTACACCCTACGAGAGCTGCCGCATCCCCATGGCAGGTTCACACCCCAAGCTGCGAGGGCTCGAACACCCTCCTCCTCCAGAGGAAGAAATCTCACCTCAGAGTCCCTAGCGATGAACTCCCAGTAACACAGGGAAGCTGTGGAAAAACTGAGGAGAGAAGGGTGATTTCCAGATGCATCCTTTTGGATGCCTTCCCACATTTTAAAGCAGATCACTCTGGATCAGATCATGAATTCTTACACAGAGTCACCAGAGAAACCAAGGACTTACTGAAACCTGGTGACTTGTCTTTACTGTCTAGATGGGATGAAATAGCAAGCCATCAGCAGGGCAGTGCCCCAGTGAGCCCAACATGTCCATGCTTCACCTCAGCAGAGAATACAGAGGACTTCTCTCTCCTTACCCTTGATCCAAGCCTGACTCCTCTTACTCTACAATGACCCACACAATTGAATGTAGGTATAGAAATGGAAGGTCAAAATGTCATTATGCTCTGAAGAGGGTTAAAAATAGCTTATAGGAAAATTCCTGTATGAAAATGAAGGGCCTGGTCTGCAGCAGGATAAAATAAATGTAAACTCTTTAATATCTTACCTAGAATGGTTTCATCTGTTCCAAAATGAGCCCGATAGAAGAGGACCATTTCAAGCCAATACACGTGATAGATGACAATCAGCACCACAACGAGCAGGATGGTTGCCCCCAGCCCACAGGCCAGCTCCACGGTGTACTTCGGTGCTACAACTGGGTCCAAAAAGAAAGAGAGGGTCAGGTTTAAAAACAGACTGGGTCTTCAGCTAGGCAGGAACAAGTTTGTGTCACATGCAGCCAAACATCACAAAGGAGCAGCCAGGAGCTAAGCTGGCTCTTTAGAGTAAGGTGGCTAAGGCAAGGCTCTCTAGCAGGATACAGTTATTAGGTCTAGTTTAGCTGGCAGAGCAAGTCATAGCACAGGCTGGACTTCTGTCTCTGAGCAAGATCCCGGGAGCAGCCAGATGGTAGAATGACCTGTTGATGGAAAAAACCTTCATAGTCCAAAACCAGCTCATGAACACGACCTTCTCAGCAGTATACACACTCTTGAGGCAACACAACTACACTTACTTCTGGGACAGCCAGATAAAGTTCATCTGCAGCAAAATAAAGGCAATGGCTACTTTTGTCGCTCCCCATCAAACAGACAAAGGTCTTGTGGCTTGTACCAGAATGATAGCAAGGATATAACTAGCCATGGCCTGATTGTTTTCTACCAGGAAAGAAGAATCAGAGTTTATTAAAGAAAAGTTGAAATGCTTGCAAACAAATAGGATAACCTGTGGACATCAAGCCAGAACATCACAGGCCCCCTCCAACTCATACATTGTCTGTCACACCACTACGGCTTTTTTGTACTAAGAACAGAAAATAACTCTTCTCACTGTATCCCTGGGCAACTCTCCAGGTGGCAGTTGACATGCACACTGGCAAACTGCACAATGGAAGAACAGCAGGGAGTGGAAACACCACCAAATTCCAATATTTAATAAGTTTCTAATAAAAGTGAAGTACAAAAAATAAAATGGAAAGAATTTATCAACTTTCATTAAGTGATGAGCAGCTGAAGTACGTGAGAAGGAGAGGGAAATAATCCAGAAAAAGCAAGAAATGTATGTAACCTAATGTAATGAAAGAGTTGGAGCCAACATATATAGCCACTTGCTAAAAACTCGAAGATAAGTGCTGAGGGGTCAGGTTCAGGCATTCTTAATGTTCCGATGCAAAAAAAGATGGGCTGCAGTGAGCTTAGCTCTGCCAGCAGCAGCTAGGGATTGTTCTTGGATTTTTCTGTGGAACAGAGCAGGAAGAAGGGGTTGTGGGTAACCACATCTGCTCAGAGAAAATCCAGTTAACTATCCAGGAGCAGATGGGGGAGGAAGAGACAGGATGGTACAGATGAGTCCACTAGAGAACAGCATTTAGGCACTGTTATATAAAGAATCTGAGTATTTTAGATTCACTTCTGCTACATGTACAAACATTATCACCCCAGAAGAATTATGTATGGAGTATGAACACACTGGCAGATAGTTTTGGCCTTACTTATGTGTTTGATCCATTGTTCCTTCCCAACAATTCAGAAGAGGCTTGTCTCAAAGTATGGGACTAAAAAAGAGGGAGGACAAGGATCAAGAAGAAAAAGACCTTCCAGTAAAGACCTGTGTGAGCCTTCCCGTGCTCGTAGGGCAGAGTAGGGGGAAGAAGGTGTCTGATATGACCTACACAAGGCAGGGCAGCATTCCTTATGGGTGAGGGGATGTCTGACTTACAGTAAAAGTAGGTGTTGAAGCTCTAGATGAGGTTGATAAGGAGGCAGAAAGATCCACCTTAACCAGGAAACCTCACATAGCCTTTATTACCGAGAGGTGGGTCTGGGAAACAGGAACAAAATCTTTGATGAAAAAAAGATGTAGGAAAAACCCACACTGAACAGAGCTGAATCAGTCCATACCATCCATGCTGAGGTGGCTGTATCTAGACTGAAGCATCATCACAGCAGGGAGTAAACCACAGAGCACCGTGGTTTGACCATCTCGTTCCCTGAGCAATGCCAGCATGTGCAGTGTGCCTTCTGGAGGATGCAACTGACACCTGTTGTGTCACCAAAACCCTCATCCAGTCAAAGTAACCTGAAATCATTTCAAGCAGCCTGTCCCCCTCAGGTCTGCTTGTGCTACATGGAGGGGATGAAGACCTACCCACCCCTCTCTCCTCCCAGGCACTTGACCACAGTACCCCATCTCAAAGAAGTAGTGCAGTATGACAGCAGGGATGCAGCAGTGTGTACAGAACAGACTGTGTTAGGCAAAAAGTCCTGATGGAATTCTTTGTTCCCTTACTGTTTTGCAGGGCAAGGCTCAAGGCAGGACCAACAGCCCCCACTGAGAACACCTCACTTCACACCCAGGCTCTGCAAGTACTTTACCTTTCATGTGCACTATGGCCTGGCTGTGGTCCTCGCCTTTGGCGTTCCTGGCATAGCAAGTATAATTCCGTTTTAACTCCTCTGGTGTGGCCTTTGCAACTGTTAGAGTCCTTATGACAGTTTTGTCATCAAAATCTCTAGTAATTTCACTGTAAAAGAAAAACTAGAGCATTACATATGAGAAACTGCAGCAAGTTCTTAGTGACAGATACTCTTTTCCCTGATATAACCTCTTTCTTTAAAAAGACCAAACCACATAAACTGATATTTATAAATCAATACGCACTTCAGATTTTAATACAGCTGCAGCCATTCCTTTATCTGATTTCCCTTAATAATTATTTTACCACTCAGAATTTTTTCATTGCAGCTGTGTCACATTGCCTTTTAGAGAAAATGGAAGTTCTTGCCTATAAAACGAGAAGATCTCAGGAACTCAAGATTCAGAGCTCACGTCACATTCCCCATGCAATCCTGGATGAGTCACTTTGTCTCTCTCTGCCTGAATTGACCATCTGCAAAATGGGGATACAGTATTTCCTTTTGACTTTCCTTTTTCTACACTGGTTTGCAAATCAACTGGGACAGTGACTGCCTTCCACTTGTAATTCAGCATCCAGCAAATGGGACTTTCATCCTCATTTGGGTCCTTCATGTCACTGAATCTTTATTCCTCCTAATCAATACTACATATAATACTACACTTTTGTTTTCAGCCCCTGTTTTCTTTCATTTTTATCACTTAGGCTATTTTGGAACATTCCTCTAAATATAATTGTCTGCCCCTGTTTCAGAAGTCCCACAATGGCACCAGCTACTGGCAGCACTACCAGGACCTGAACAAGGTTGTATTTTAAAGACAGATAAGAATAAGACTGATTAGTTGAAACTTGTTTACTCCTACAGCAGTGGAATGAAATAAAAATTACATCTGCAATAAGGAGCATCATAGCGCTGATGTGGTAGATACAGCCTTAGCTGACTCATTTATAAATGGGAAAGAAATCCCCATCAAAGGTGGCCACACAAGCTCAGAAAAGCCTATAAAGCTGACTAACAAGCAAGATCCACTCCCCCACTGGTAAAGCAGATCATAGAGTCAAAGACACAAACAAGAGACAACATAAGATCATCACCCATGATGATGTGAACTGGATAACAAAGCTCCCTCAAATCCTTCTGTAAGATATGAAACTGTCCAGGTCTGGAGGCCTTCTCCTCATGCTCATCACCATGCTCATCACAGCATGGTGTAGACACAGGGGTTTCTGATTAACAGGGAAGCAGGGGACTCAACACTCCCTTGGGACTGTCGCATGCCTATAGCCGCACCCCTCTGCGGGACCCAAGAGGGGATTAGATTCAAATGAAGGTTCACATTTTATGTTACCTTTGTGTGACTTTCATCTTGGGGTCTGTGATGTCATCTGTGTTTTTTCCATCTATGGTCCACCACACCTCAGTCCGGGAGTCCTTCAGGAAGGTGAAGAAAACCTCACAGGGCAGGACAAGGTCATCTCCTGGAAAGAAAGGACCAACTGTGAGGTATTGCAAAACAGGAATAGCGCCACCCTTATTTTGTGCTATCCAGGGATCCTACCAGCCTAAGCTCTGCCTCCCTTCAGGAGGGAATGAGGCATCCACTTTCTGACATCTAGGAACACTTTAACATCTCGGACATGATGATTTGTGACAGACACATAAACAGAAAAAAATATCCTGCCTTCTCAAATGTGTTACAAATTCTTTGACTTCACAAAGTGACCCACCCAAAGGGAGATGCTCCATGCCAACCACTTCCTTGGAAAGCCAGGCAGTGTTAATCATTCCCACTGCACAGGGGACAGATGCCAAAAAGCAAAGGATCAAGCTCCACAAGAGCATTTTGATGTAGGAACACTTCTTCAGGAATTTGACTTCTGCTCAAGATCAGACTTGGGAGTGTGAATATCTTTGTGATCAGCACATAAGTGATTTTTTCTTATAAAGTCATTATTGAAGAAGTCTGACCTTCTCAGCCTTAAAAGCTGTACTTTAAAGTGAAGATTCGGAGGCTAATCATCATCATTGGCACCACATTTATTACAGCAGCATAATGGCACACAATCCATTCAATATAGGGAATTGCTCCAAAGAGCTGTGAGTTGAAACTGATGGGGTGGGGGAAGGGGTTGGGTACCCCATTACCCAACACTGAGAGGCCAGCAGAAGGAGAGCTGTCACTAATTAGGAAGTAATCAGCCAAAAAGGGAGAGATGAGCAAGAAGTGGATAGAAGGCTGAAGCCACTGTGGGGGTGAACGAGGGAGGGTGGGAGCAAACCACAGCCAGGGCCAGGGCCAAGACAAGGTCCTATAGGAATTTTCCTAAGCAGCTCAGTGTCCCCATTTCATCTGCTTCTGCAGCTGCAGTCCTGCATCTCCATGCCTGAATATCTGTCTTTATTTATGCTTGCAAAAAAACAACTTTTAAAGCTGTGCTTTCCTATTCTGGCATCGAGAACTGGCATCCCACACTGTCTGCCAGGCAACTTGTGGCAGCTCGTGTGCTCTGTGAGGGAAAGCACTGGGGATGTGGTGGAAGGGGAGAGCTGCTGTGCCTGGCTGGGCCTCCCTGACCCACAGGCAGGGTGTCAGGGCAGCAACTGTAGGCAGCGAGTGTTGGAATTTACCTGCTTCCAGTTCGTACACAACTTTCTCATTTGGAGAGATGAACTGTGGTGGTAAGGCCCTGTTTGGAGATCCTGCAGGAAACAACAGAGAGCCCCCCACAGGGACCCAAACTTCATGAGAACCTGGAATCCTTGCAGCTTCATTCATGATGCACCCCACTGCACATTCCCCAAACTAACTTGTGATACAGTCCTGCTGCAGAGTTCCACGCACAGAGAAGTCTAATTCTAGCCCCCAAACTGAGGGCCAGATACAGATTTTGAGGCTTCTCTGAAGTTTAGGTAAGTTAGTTTGGGCCTCTCACATCCGAAGACCTCCATACCCCTCTCCTCTCCCACAAGGCATAACCTGTACCACTTTCTTTTTACTGCTGCTTTTAGAACCAAAATACAAACATCATTTCCTGTTGCAAATATTTAATTCAGCTCTTAAAGCAGCTGTTGCCACGGGTCTCAGAATGCATCCTACAGCTCACTAGGTTTTTAAGCTCTGTCTACAATTCCCTGGCAGGTAGGCTGAGCCCTTGTGCCTGGGACAGACCTGGCCAAGCAGTGGGTACCTGGAGCTCTGCCTGGGTGATTAACAGTCCCAACTTCAGCACACAAGGTTTTGAGATTCCAAGAAGATCAAGACAAGTTGGCTATAAAGGGACAATCCTACAAACAAAGATGAGCAAAGGGCACTGGAGACAACAATGAGCAGGAGTGCCAGGGCTATGCACTCACATGCCAGCAGAGGGTACCCCTGGCCATCTCATGGGCTGAACCTCACCAGCCTATGCCTGGCCACTCTCTGTGTTTGGGGGCATTTGATACGGTGGTGGGTAAGACCTCTAGTGCAACATGTTCTGGGAAGTCATACAAAGCTGACCCCAGCAAGAAAAAATACACCAGGTCAGTTGAGTAATGCAGATTGAACACAACCATAAATGGATCCTGCGACAGACTCTTCTAGCTGTTTTTACCACTTCTGCAGTTATCCACATGCATTTTACATATTTTAAAGTCATTCTTACCCACCACCTTCATCGTTATGGTTCTGGTGAGATTATATGTTCTTCCATGGTCCTTGAACGTCACAATACAAGTGTAATTCCCTTTATATGCACTGCGGACAATGACGATGACAAGCCTGGGCCCTTGGGGATATCGCTCAGAGAAGCCATCCACCAAGTTGCAGTTCTGGAGTCAGGCAGAAAAACACTTGAGTTTAGGATTCCAAAGTAAAAGACATTGGTTTAAATGCTACTACAAAGATCTGATCTTCAGCTATGAATATGGTACTTGGGATCGTGATGCAGATCAGACCTAAATACCATGAACTCTGAGCATGCTGGAATACAGACTGCTCTGTTCACCTTGAAAATGAAGTGATGAAGCAGATGACCCTAACAGTTTTATCCCACCTTAAACACAGGCAGTTTTATAAAAGAGAGATCCCTAATCCAGAAGCACCTTTGCAATTAAAGTGAGCACCTCAGCAGAGTGAAAAGTAAAAACAGACAGGAAGAAAATGATGATGTATTCACAAATGGATACTAAGACTAAGGGACATGTCCCCCATTGATGTCCATCTTTTGGGACTAATCAAGTTGCCCTGACTGACTTCAGCTGAGTCAAATTGGCAAATGGCAAATGAGAATCTGCAGTACAGAAATCTTAATAACTCCTCTCTTTCTGTCAGGCAAGGCAGGAAAACTCTGCCAAATACCAAGCTAGAGATCCCTTTTCAGAAAGGGGATATGCAGATAACATCTTGATTGTCATAAAACCCAAAGATGTGCACATTTTCTAAGAGATTATTTCTGAATGGGACATTTCCAAATCAGATACATCCTAATGGGGCAGTTTAAGACAGGGGTCATATACCATTTTTAATGATTTTTATTAGGCATGAGATGACTCGCTGTCTGAAAAATCACTTCCAAGGGGCTTTTTGTTTCATTCTGCTAATTGATTGCCGAGATGTGAATTTCAATGAATGATACAAGTAAAGCATTTAAACTACTGGAGTGAAACTGCTCCTCTTGGATACAAAAGTAAGTTTTTCCTAAAGGGTTTTCTTTTGGGTCTTTTTTCTTAATTATTTTTTAAATTAGCAGATATATTTGTTGACAAATTCTTTTATTATTAATTTCACTTATACAGAACCTTCTATCTAGAAAGCCAAAAGCACTTTCTAAGCAGTTACTAAAGAATTCACTCCCATAACTCTCTGGCTGTACATCCCCTGAGAATTCCTATTCTCTATTGACTAAATAGAGAATTTAGTCCTACCTAAGACCTAGAGAAAAACAGTGAGGTCCAATTTAATAAAATTGAGTGGTAATTCTGTAGGCAAGAGCCTGAAGATGGCTAGAGACAGTCTACTCATCAGAGCAGTATGGAGGGTGGAGTAGGGATGTCTTGATCTTCAGAAAAGAAGTTTGCTGAGTTGTGTCAAACAGGGTCACCCACAGGCCTTGCAGAGGCCTCATTTTCTGACCTCAGAGGATTTTAGAAAGAGTGTGATTTTAATTAACAGGCGGGGGGTTTTTTAAAGAGTGAATATGAATGATAATTTCCTTTACAGGGATAGTAAGAGGCTCAAACAGCAGGTCAGGCATACTGCCCATAACTGAACTGAGGCTCCTAAATCCCTGCAACAGTATTCTCCACTTGTGCATTCTGGCCAAAAAAGCTTCAGCATTAGTTCTCAATTCCCTTCCAAGAGCTGTTTTACCCTTGAACTCAATGGAAACAAAGCTCTTAAAATTAGTAAAGTTTCATTTGCAGCAGCATCACTGGGAAGACTCTCAAATACACCTCCATGACTCTCATGTCAACCACTGCTTTTTCACATACACCACTGCATTCCACCACTGCCCACGTAAGTCCTTCTTACCAAGTACCACTTGACAGTTGGTGTTACACTGGCAGGGTAAAACCCATCAATATCTGGACATATGATCTTCTGATTGGTGTGCTCCAAGTAGAACATCTCCTCAATGGGTTTTATCAAATGACTCACACAAGAGTGCTGGTCTTTCGGAACAACCTCCAAGGGAAACGCAACTTTGCTGCAGTAGGTTGTATTTCTAAGGACAGATAAGAATAAGACTGATTAGTTGAAACTTGTTTACTCCTACAGCAGTAGAATGAAATAAAAATTACATCTGCAATAAGGAGCATCATAGCGCTGATGTGGTAGATACAGCCTTAGCTGACTCATTTATAAATGGGAAAAAAACCACCATCAAAGGTGGCCACACAAGCTCAGAAAAGCCTATAAAGCTGACTAACAAGCAAGATCCACTCCCCTGCTGGTAAAGCAGATCACAGGGTCAAAGACACAGACAAGAGACAATGTAAGATCAAAAAGAGCTCTTGTGCATAGCAGATGCTATGTTCATTTTGTACCATACTCAGAGACACTTTTAATTTCCTAGAAGTCTGAATCTCATGAATCTTTGCCAAATTAGTGTGCAGTCAAAACATTACCCCTGCATCTGAAGCTATTTTTACTCTAGACATCCAGATCACTTCTTAATGGTGAGCGCCTGTGGATTTTGCCATGGGCTCAGCAATAATATTTTCACGGACACTTGCAGCAAGCAAGGAGGGGCACACTCATTAACGCTTGCAAGGCTCCAAGCATTATTGCAATGTAAATTGGCTCAGCACTGAGCGGTCCTATAATTGTAACATTCTTTTCCCATTAATGCTTATGCAAATGGTCGTCTCCCTACAGGAAGATCTGGTGCTAACAGCCTAATTTCCCCACCTCCACAGAAGTCCTTCGATTGCACTGAAGACAGGAGCTGTACCATACAACCTACCTGAGCATGCAGGTATAATTCCCAGTGTCATTGAGGAGAGCAGGCCAGAACCAAAGGGTATCTTTATCCTTACTGATGTGATTGTCCGGGAGACGATAATTAATGGGTTCCTCCAGATCCCGGTCCTGCGCGATCCTGTACCAGATCAGGGTTAAGCCAGCAGAATGGGCTGTGCTATAGTTGTACTTCAAGAAGGTCTCAAAAAGCGGGCATTTGATCTTGGCAGGTTCCCCATCATAAATCTGGATCTGCTTCATGGTATCCACACCCCAGTCATCGCAGCGTTCTGCAGCCAGGAAGAACAAGGTGCCTTAGCTTGCAAGTCTGCAGGAAAAAAACTGTTCTGTCCATGCTCCCCACAGCCCTCAGTCCTGTCTCCATTAAAGTCAGAGGTAAAAATATAGTGTTTTCAGTGAAACCAAACTGGGCTTTTATAAAGCAGAGCAAGAACACTGTGTTCATTTCTGGAGAACCTGCAAACCTCTGCTTTCATTTGTACACCTCCTACACTTCTTCCAAGCTATTTATCTCTCATCAGGACAACAGAATAGGATATTCCTGCACAAAACCAGGCTTCCTAGAGAGCTTCAAGAAAATGTAATACAAAAATCGTATGTGGGAAGATAAAGTTTAGGTGAAAGCAATGCCAGAGGTGTGTGTGCATCCATACACAATGGTAGGGAAGATGGAAATAGACGTGTTAAAATAAGAAGGGAGGGGAAAAGTAAAAAATCCAACACAAACATCAACCCTCCCCTAGAGCTATGGGTCACTGCCCCTGACAGAAGCAGCTGGGTTGTGGGTTCCAAAAGCAAGAACTGTCTTTTCTGTGATGGATTCATGTGACCCCTGTGCACACTACAGTAACATAAAGAGTACAAGTACTAATAAGTGACACAGAGCAACTGTTTATAGTGAAGTTTAAGAAGGGAGGCTGAGGGGCAGAAGAAACAGTATGGAGGACGCAGCAGCAGGTTCTCTTGAGAATTCCCAGGCAGTGCCCAGGTGCAATTCCCCAAGCACAGTTCAACAGGCTCAGTGTGGCTCACAGCAGACTTGGACTGACACAGAAATTGGTCAACACGAGAAAAAGCTGTACAGTGCCTTTTTTTTAATTCTTCTTTAAAGAATTTATTCTTCTCATTAGCAAATAGGTTCAGGACAAAAGCACAGTTCAAACCCAACTCCATTCTGAGTAGTCCTTTCCATTCAGTTCCTCCTACCCATCAGGATGTCCAGTCAGGAAGGGAGTCAGTGCAAGCAAAGCACGGTACCAGGGTATCAGCAAACCTGAGAGCAACCTGCACTGATACACCAACTGAGACACACGGAGAAGCTGCTGTCAGTGCATCTCCTGTCTCCCCACGCTGACGAGGCAGAGCACAGCATGGCACGCTTCCCAGTGCATCTCTTGTAGCTGCCGGGAGGCATTTGCTAGGGCAGCCTGACGTCTGAGAACCCAAAATGAGTCAAACAGGAGAGGGGTGTGCTGCCTGCAGCGGTCCCTGGGAGCAGTGTCTCAGCACATCACAGGCTTACCAGAGACGACACTGCAAAGCCTCTCCCATTTGCAGATATTAGAAGAACTCAGACCAAAAGGAAAAACAGAATACAATATGCTCTTTGAGCCAAATTCTTCTGAATTCTTCTGAACTGACTTCACAGGCCCAAAGCAGGATTTCTGGCATTTATTCTTCCTTAAGTAGACAGTGGGATGTAGCTTGGCCCCAAATTCATACTTAATTAAAAAAAGCAAAGTGATAAACCTTTGAGAAGATAGGCCTGCAGCACTTAAAGGCAGTGATGCTAACTCCTGTGGCTCAGCAATGGTTAGTCATGGGGAGGAGGAATCTGGGCCAGTAAGAATAGAAATGTTTTTTGGCGGGTTTGCACATAAATGTAAATGCAAGCTGCACTGCTCCTCCTGTGGTATTCTGAACACCCATATGACAGAGTGCTACTTCTGGAGGAAGAGAACGAATTGGGCTAGGAAGAGGCAGTGAAGCTACCCAGAACACAAATATTTGCCTGTAGGAACCCCAAACCCAAGTGGTTGGAGAGTGCCACAGCTTATTATCTAAAAAACATAGATCTTTCACAACCGCCCAGCATCTGTTGTAGTTTTATTTAAATGGGAAAGATTTTTAGTGATTTTTTTTCATACCATCACGTAATTTAGAGTGTGGGGGGACCCCCCCCCCCCCCATCTGAGCTGAATCAGGGAAAGACTGTCCCCAGCATCTTGGGACCTGCTGAAAAGGTGGGTCCCTTAAGTGAAGCATTCCGGGAACTTGAGAGACAGGAGATAAAAACAGGTGTGCCCCAGAACTCACCCTCTCTTGGTACCTGGGATTTGCTCACTGGAGCACTGCTGACCTTTGGAGCCTCTTCCCCGGGGACCAATCTCTCATTAGAGGTCTCACCTCCCAAACATCTTGCAGTTAAACCAAGACAGCATCACACATTATGGCTGCTACCATGGCCAGAGCCAAGGCTCATTCTGACAGACCAAACCATTGTTGGAAGCCTTGTACCATGAGAAGGTGTATGGTCGCCAGTCACCGCCATGATCGAGGCCAACTGGAACCAGTATGCTGCTTTATGCTGGTGGGGTCAAGCTACTGGATTAGGTATGGGCAAGTGTCCATACAGTGGTACTGAGACAAACGAGCCTGCAGAGACTGTCTGCTAACTGCACGATAAAGCATGGATTGCTACTCATGGAGAGGGGACTTTTTTGCTTGTAAAGAAAGGCTCTCCCTCTGGAAGGAGCAAACCCAGGTCTGTAAATCAGGACACCTGGGTTCTCTTCCTGGCACCTGACTTAGGCTGCATAAAGGCAAACTGTCCTTATTATTTCAAATGGCAGGACTGGGGAAGGAGAAAACTATATAAAACATTACAGTACTGAAATTCTTAGAGTCAAGATCAATGAAATTTGCAATCATGAGCAGCTCTTGCATTTTGCAACAGACCATAAATCAGCACTGTAAAACTACTTACCCGTTCTACCTGAATGAGTTATTGAAAATAAATACAACTATTTTATTTTTTTTCTTCCTACATTTCTCAAAAGCAATGCACAGGCCTTTTCTTCTTGGCTTGGGAAGAAGTGACTGTTATTGTTTTACTATAAGAGCTATACCTGGAGATTTTGTCTCAGAGCTGGCTAATTAGCCTGGCTTCAGGAACACTATCACAGCAAAGAGCCAGTGCTAAGGCTCCCCACATGCCCTTACCTGGAGTGCTGCAAGCTCTGAGCTGAACCCCAAAACCAGCATATAACTGTGCTGGTACTGAACAGCTACACCCAAACCACAGGAGCAGCCGTGCAGTGTGAGATCACAGGCTGTGTTTGCCACCTGGCTGGCAAGGATTCCTCCTGGCTGCCAGGGCAAAGACAACAAGTACGGCTCCGAGGGCTCAGGGAGCAATGCCGTGACCCAGCAGAGATGGAAGAAACACCCCAGGCTGCAGCAAGAGCTCCTTCAGACACAAAACACCAAGGACAGAAGTGGTGGTCCTTTGCACAGCTTCCCTTCTCCCTGTGCTGTGCTGACAGCAGTACTGCTATTTCTACTTTTTGGGGTGTTTTATGACCAAGATAGCTGGGCTCTGCCTGACATAACATGTGTGAGGACTGCAGGGTATCCCGCACACACACCTTTGTGAGCCTCTTGCTCCCCAGCTGTGAGGGTGCTCTTCTCCCTGTGCCAAACACAACCTCTGCTGTGGGGGCACTTCTACAGCAGACCCCAGCAGAATGATCAAACCCAGACAGCTGGCTGCACTCCACACACACACACAGAGGGGATGCTCACATTATTATTGCTATAATTTTATTGTATCCAACAGCTCCCTGCAACATTTTGTGTCCCTTCCACTATTTTAAGCTCTATTGGATATTCAGAGCCTATTTGCTGCTAACATCAGCATGCAGCTACTTGGATGTCAGCCTGAAATGGAGATAGCCTGAAAAAAATGGCATGACTTCACAGTGACCCTTCACTGGCATAAAGCAGCTACCACTATGAAAAAAAAATACATATACACACACATTGATATATCCTGACTCCAGTAACAATATTTGAGGGAGCACTGCAGAAAGAAGATGCAAGGATCCAGTTCTCATTGTGAGAAACAGCACTAACTTTTATGGTGCTGCGCCCTTTTGCAGCAACTCTCACTTGTTTTCACTGGCTAAGCCTAGGAAGCAAATTTCTTCTCTCTCGAAACATTTCATGCACAAAACAGCTGCTGGAGTTAAGAGCAGCTCCTGATTAAATCAAGTGAGATCAGCATTCATGCTGTGACTTCAGAGGTTTGCTAACAAATGGAAACCAGTGAGGAGATGGAACTATAGGTAACTCCATGGTCCCTTCCATGCTGTAGCAAATGGAGCACTACACACATACCTGAGGGACACAATAAAGTTCTCTAAAAATACACCATCCCACAGATGCATCTTCTTAGAAACACCTCTGCAAAACACTTCTGAAAGAAACCACCTTGCTCTCATTATCAATGAGGTGCATTGCAGATGCCTCAACTGACCCCTCTTACTGCTGAATGCTCTGCAATCACACAGCAGGGCAGCCTATGACCCATAATACCTACCTGTGACAGATAATGCAGGAAAAAGGCAAGAAATGTTTCTGCTTGCACAGCCCTGCTTTGGAAAAGGGATGAGGACTATACAGGGTGGAGGGAGGCTGAATGGTAGAAGGAACACCCCCGCCTCTCCAGCATTAAGAGACAAAGTGCAGGCAGAAGGCTGAGGGTAAGGATGCCTATCTTGAAATCGTGCCTTGACATAAAGATACGAGCAGGCTGTTGCACTCCTCCTTAATGCACACTGGGAACAAGGTGAACTGGCAAAGCTAACTCCAAGTGTCTTCCTTGCTTGGACTGTACGCTGCAAGCTGTGTTCATAGGGGTGTCTACTCCTGACACAAGGGATAGAAACTGCTTCTCTTACAGAAACTGAAAGATTTGTCCCATTTCTGAATCTGATGCTATGACACCCTTCAACACCAGGTATCCCAAAACAGACTCCTCAGAAGCCAAACAAAGCTGAAGAAAGCGGCTTCTCCAGAGGCAAAGTAGAAAATTAGAGGGAAAAAAAATAACGTTGCTCAGCTGCATAAAGATGAAAACAAACATTTCTGGAATCTTTCCCAGCCATTCACTTACTGCACTGATTTACCCTCTTCACAGAATCATAGAATCAATTAGGTTGGAAAACACCTCTGAGGTCATCAAGTCCAAGCTATGACCGAACACCAC